AATAAACAAGTCAACTTGAATTTTCAAGCCAAATTTGAATAATTTGCTACTTGACTTGATAAATTTATATCCACTATAAAAAAAAAAAATCAAGTTATTAGAGTTTGCTCGCTTAAAACTCATTTCAAATATAGTCTAAAAATAACAAACTTAATTTGAAAATATTTTAAAACTTGTTAAGTTATAAGACTTCTTTGGTGATTACCTACAAGCTTAATTTGCATCATTCCTGCAGCTACTACATTTCCATTAACAATGTTTTTCAAAGTAAAATAGTATTTTGATGTTATTCTTTCAACAAACTCCATAGCTGGCCTTACCGACACACTACTATACTCTCTCTCTCTCTCTCTCTCTCTCTCTCTAGAATTATTGGGGATGTTGAAAAAAGTAGATGGGGGGAAGCAATTCAGGATGGACCTTTGTGTGAGACAAAAACCAACGTTTATCTACCACCACCCCATTAATCACTCCTCAAAAGCCCAACACCCTCTCACCAACCACCTTAATTAATAACTTCTACTTTTTATATAAATCCAAAAATCTATAAAGTAATTCACAAAAAGAGAAATAGAGAGAGAGAGAGAGAGATGAGATGATACGATATGGGCCCTCCCATAAAAAGATAAGATCCATATGGAGTTTTTGTTTCAATGTGTGAGAAAAAGGCTGTATGTGCCTAAAGATTCTGAAAAAGTTGATAGAGATTTGCCCCATAATTGTGATGGCTTCTGTGGAGCAAGTGAAAAAAAACATGGGAAGAAATTTAAGCCACAGAGCTGTTGGGCTTTTACCCAAATTATGGGTCTACATACTCATGCCCATGTGCATCTATGCACGTGCCATTTTGTTCTTACATATAGGTTGAAAATATGCTTAATTCATAAAAATAAAATAAATAAATAAAAATCTTGAATCTTAGACAAGGAAGGAATGTCTATTTGATTCATCTGTACAAAATAAATTACGATTATATGCAGTTACTTGTAAATTATTTGTATCAATTAAAACTGTGCACAACATCAGAACAAATGAAATGTAAATTTTTTTTATTTACAGCTCATCCCAAGATAAAAACCCGCTTACTACTGAACTATTCGTGTGGGTGAGTTGGTCCTACCCACTAAACACATACCTTTGGAAAATATTCCAACTTCGTATAGGTAACTCCTACATCTTTCAAACTAGTCATTATTTGTCAAAAAGTGTAGAATTTACGCTGTGTTTGGTTGGAGGATTTGACGAGGGATTTGGAAAGGGAAAGGGAAAAGTTAGCTGAAATGTGAATAAAATGTACCTACATTTCACCTAGTTTCACACACCTTTTCCTTTTCCCTTTCCAAATTCCTTCCCAAATCCCCTAACCAAACACAGCATTAGAGTTTCAAAGCAATGGTAACTGTTCCAAAATTTTCATTTGCTACTACACATATATATATTTTTATTTTACTTTTACATGTGTATTTTAATTAGGAAAATCAATCAAATTACTTTTAAAAACTATAATTCTACTTTAAATACTACTATTATTTTACATAATGTATTAGGGAAATAACAGTGCAGGGTAGAAGAACCAAAAAAAAAAAAATGCAAAACGTGAGGGTACAACTCAAAAGTTGTGAGGGTGCAACTCATGTCTGTGTAATTTTTTTTTTTCTATTTCACAAACATCTAATTCCATTAAAGGGTCACTGGATGAGTGATAGGCTATTACTGCTCTTCTGGATCATGACGAAAGTGTTGGGCTTTAAATATGAAATGTTTTAGGCCATAGCTTGGGCCCTCTCTGGCCCATCTTAGAGAATGCAATTGAACCATACAATAATTTCATATAGGATTTCATGTAAGAATGATAAGATGGTCGTGTTTTTATAATTAAATATAAATATTATTTTAACTTAAATTCTGTTTTAAAATGATTAGTCCTAACATAATTATACACAAATAAAAAATATACAGAATGATGATGTGACAAGAGTCATGAACCAGAAATTTTGCATAATTTAAAAAACGCATTAAAATTTTGCATAATTTAAAAAAAAGAATAATACTATATGCATCAATATACCAATTAATGTATCAACAGATGATGTGATATAAGCTTAAAGGTTTTAGATATTTGTAATTGAGTAATGCTAGAGACCCCAAATATTTTACCAAAAGTTTTACCAATTGTCTCACATGGGTGTGAGACCCACATTGTGTGGGTCCCATGTGCCATGTGGGTCCCACACCCATGTGAGACATTTGGTAAAACTTTTGGTAGAATTTTTGAGACCTCTAGCATTTTTGTTTATAATTTGTATAATAGGTGGGGTCAGTAATAATGTTATAACATATGTTGATACACTAATTACTATACTAATTAGTATATGCAACACCACCGTTTAAAAAGTCACAATTATTCTAAGGATTGAGTTTATGTTTATTTATTTATTTTTATATCATTAGTCTTTGGGTTTGTGACATCACATAAGAGAAAATTTGTCAAGAAATATTTCTTATGTTCGGTTACCAAACAAAAAAATAATAATGAAAAACAAGAAGAAACTATACAATCTATTTACTTGTGTTTTTTTTATTTACAATTTGCATAGTTTCAAAAAAAAAAATTAAGTTAAAAATATTCATCTGAATCTTAGACAAAAAAAAAAATTAAGTTAAAAATAGTTTCAAAAAAAAAAAATTAAGTCAAAAACATAAATAAAAATAAAAATCTTGAATCTTAGACAAGGAAGGAATGTCTATTTGATTCATCTGTACAAAATAAATTACGACTATATGCTGTTACTTGTAAACTATTTGTATTATTTAAAACCGTGCACAACATCAAAAGACATAAAATATTTGTAAATTATTTGTATTAATTATGCAGTTGCGTGTGTTCGCGCTCCATTGGTGCCCTGGTGGTGGGTCCCTCACTTGGTGGGGGTTAATTCCTGGCTTGCAACCTGTTATCCCGGGGTCAGGGCCCAACGGGACCATGGTGACACCACAGAACCTTTTTTCATGTTAAAAAAAAAAAAAAAAAAACAAACAAACAAACATCAGAAGACATAAAATATAAAATATTTTTATTTACAGCTCATCCCAAGATAAAAACCCGTTTACTGCTGAACTATTCGTGTGGGTGAGTTGGTCCTACCCACTAAACACATACCTTTGGAAAATATTCCAACTTCATACAAAATCATATAGGTAACTCCTACATCTTTCAAACTAGTCATTATTTGTCAAAAAGTGTAGAATTTAGAGTTTCAAAGCAATGGTAACTGTTCCAAAATTTTCATTTAGCTACTACACATATATATTTTTTTATTTTACTTTTACATGTGTATTTTAATTAGGAAAATCAATCAAATTACTTTTAAAAACTATAATTCTACTTTAAATACTACTATTATTTTACATAATGTATTAGGGAAATAACAGTGCAGGGTAGAAGAACCAAAAAAAAAAAAATGCAAAACGTGAGGGTACAACTCAAAAGTTGTGAGGGTGCAACTCATGTCTGTGTAATTTTTTTTTTTCTATTTCACAAACATCTAATTCCATTAAAGGGTCACTGGATGAGTGATAGGCTATTACTGCTCTTCTGGATCATGACGAAAGTGTTGGGCTTTAAATATGAAATGTTTTAGGCCATAGCTTGGGCCCTCTCTGGCCCATCTTAGAGAATGCAATTGAACCATACAATAATTTCATATAGGATTTCATGTAAGAATGATAAGATTTCACAAACATCTAATTCCATTAAAGGGTCACTGGATGAGTGATAGGCTATTACTGCTCTTCTGGATCATGACGAAAGTGTTGGGCTTTAAATATGAAATATTTTAGGCCATAGCTTGGGCCCTCTCTGGCCCATCTTAGAACCATACAGTAATTTCATATAGGATTTCATGTAAGAATGATAAGATGGTCGTGTTTTTATAATTAAATATAAATATTATTTTAACTTAAATTCTGTTTTAAAATGATTAGTCCTAACATAATTATACACAAATAAAAAATATACAGAATGATGATGTGACGAGTCATGAACCAGAAATTTTGCATAATTTAAAAAACGCATTAAAATTTTGCATAATTTAAAAAAAGAATAATACTATATGCATCAATATACCAATTAATGTACCAACAGATATAAGCTTAAAGGTTTTAGATATTCGTAATTGAGTAATGCTAGAGGCCCCAAATATTTTACCAAAAGTTTTACCAAATGTTGTGAGACATTTGGTAAAACTTTTGGTAGAATTTTTAGGGCCTCTAGCATTTTTGTTTGTAATTTGTATAATAGGTGGGGTCAGTAATAATGTTATAACATATATTAATTACTATACTAATTAGTATATGTAACACCACCGTTTAAAAAGTCACGATTATTCTCAGGATTGAGTTTATGTTTATTTATTTATTTTTATATCATTAGTCTTTGGGTTTGTGACATCACATAAGAGAAAAAATTTGTCAAGAAATATTTTTTATGTTCGGTTACCAAACAAAAAAATAATAATGAAAAACAAGAAGAAACTATATAATCTATTTAGTTGTGTTTTTTTTATTTACAATTTGCATAGTTTTTAAAAAAAAAATTAAGTTAAAAATATTCATCATTTTTATTTTTATTTTTGTGTTTTTTATTTTTTCTTTCTAAAGTTTTCAAAAATATGTTGTCAGACAAGTATTCAATATTTTCTCAAAATGAATTGAAAACATAACCACACCGACCAAATACACAGGAAAAAAAAAAATAACAAAAACAACGTCCAATTAAATACACATTACTATCTTTGAGAGAAAAAATATTAAATCCACACCTAACTTTGAAAATAATACATAATATGATTGACTCATGACTTAAACCTATAACATCAAGTTATTAGGTTAAGATTTTACCAATGAACTAATGACAAAATCCCAAAAGATGCAAACTGATGACAAGATTCATATAAACAAGCAATGGAGAGATATGATCCCAAAAAAAAAAAAGCAATGGAGAGAACTAATAAAATAATTTGACACTTCTAGAAGGCAAAGTTATTCATTAAAGAGAACCTACATATATTATTATACAAAGCACAGAAGAGACAGCTCAAATGACATACAACTAAACAACAAAACATATATAACTAACTACACTGAAGATTTAAAGAATTTCATTTCAAGTTCACCACAAAATATATTACATCTAATCTTTGGGATTGAGAGATGGAAATGAAGGAATAGACTGCAGTATCAGCTTCCGACTGCTCCTTCGACCCGGTGATGATCCAAAGTCGCAGTGAGGCGGAGAGACTCTCTTACTGTTCGGGGAAGCAGATTTGATTGCACCAATAGGTGAGCAGTTTCCTTGCAGAATCTCCGGCATTTCATCTTCCTGAACGGTTTGGATTGGCTTCTCAAACTTGGGCTGAGGAGGCAAAAAGCTCGGCTTTCCAAACCTTTGATTACCAAAAAACCCAGAGGAGGATCCGATAGAAAGAAAAGATCGCGGTGGTTTGTTCTTGGAAAATGGTAGCTGCACAGATGCTCTGGCACACGAAGAACAAAAACAAAGAAACAAAAATGAAAATGAAAATGAAAACAAAATCAAATAATTGCGCGTGTCAATATGGTATGCGTAAGGAACTGCTAGACTTGTATACATATATACCTGCCACTGTGTAGAGGTGTTGCTGGAAGAGTAGAATCTGGATTCTGTTCAGAACTGTTCTGGATTAAATTTGTGTGTAAACTTTTGTGTATGACACTCTTTTCAGATACTTCCGGTTCTTCTTCTAGTTCAGCTTCTGCTCCTATTGTACCAGATCCTAAATTCCACAGAAAAGAAAAGAAAAAAAAAAAGAAAAAGGAACCATTTCAACAAAAAGAAACATTTCAAACTAAAATACCACCAGCATCTATGCTTCAATCAATAACTCAATACAAAATATAGCTAAAAACACATTGGTATTAGGAAGAAATACACACTTAGAAGGGGAAAGACTGGCTGTGTTTGGATTTAGGTTTTGGGGAGGGATTTGGAAACATAAAAGAAAATGACAGGAAATGTAAATGAAATATAAGTTAAATTTTTGTCACTTTTCTCTTTCCAATTCATTTTCCTCCGTGAATCCCTCCTCAAATCTTACATCCAAACACAAATTTTACTTCTTCACTTTGCCCTTCTTTTTCCCTTACCCTCCACAAATTCCTAGTCAAATTCAGATCCAAACAAAAAGCATAAGGGTTTTTCAAGGCATGCTCACCATCCTTTCTACCGAATGCATTTTTACACCCTTCACATCTGCAGTTAATGGAGCATCCAACGCCACCCTTTCAAAGAAAACGGCCATTTGCAAATCAGATTATAAATAACAGCAAGAAAATATTGAATGCACAAAAGAAATGGGAGCCAAAAAAAAAAGAATTTAAACAAAAACAACCAACCTGATAGCATTCACAATACTTCTTTAGGCAACCAGATTTCTTGCAATTGCATCCTCTTTTATGCCTTGCTGAAGCTGGAGTCTTGCTGGACTCATCCTGATAAAACAACAACACTTATACTAGTGCTGCAAAAATCATATGGTAAGTAAAATGCAAGTCCAGATATGGCTTTCTAACCCCAATTTCTGGTACAGAGTCAGAGCTCCTGATCACTTTAGGAGCAAATGCAAGCGGGTTGCGGGATTCGATCTGCTTACGAGTTGCAAGGACAGTATCTTCATGAATAGGCTTGTTGTAGCAATCTTGACATGAGCATGGCTCCACGCAATAGACACCAGCAGCAAAGCATTCACAATAACTGCAATGAGAAGTTCAACAGGTAGATCATGAGCATAACTTGGTTGTGTGGCTTTTGTTTACATGTTTTCTTAGTATAATGCCACCAATAAGCTCCTTTGTTTATGCTAAAGAAATGCAATAACTTACAGCTTCAAACATTTTGATTTCTTACAGTTACACCGCTTGCAGCCCTCACTCTCTCCAGCATTTTCCAGCCTACGCCTGAAAATCAAATTTATGCTATAATATGGAAAAACTGATGCAATTGTACTGAGAATGTTGTGCAATAAACATCTCAAAACAGGAAAAGAGAAGTAAAAAGTGAACTGCACATGCCTCTTCTTTTTTGGACTACTCTGATTAAGCTCTTCACTAGCTATGTATCCAGATGCCTGAGAAGCATCTTCCATACCCGGAACTCCACTTTCAGTGAGACCCATGTTTCCTTCCATAGAGGTTACTGCCAAATATTGATCTTGACCGGTATTCAAAGAATGAATAGAGGCAGTGGAGCTAGGGTCATTTATCAACTGCCTTCCAGAAGACAAAGTTTCATGACTAACAACGCTGTATTCCTTTGAAGTTCTTGCAAGAGCATTTAAATGCAAACCAATTCCAGGTAGAATGCAGTGTGAAGAATCATTGCCAGGCTTCGTAGGAACCAGCTGCTTATCATTGGACTCAATGTTAACATCAGGCTGAGGTAACATGGAAGAGCCGGAACTTGAACTATCATCTAAATGCTTTCTGCGAGCTCCCGCCATATCAAAGACCAGACAGCGCCTTCTCATACCACGATGTAAATTAGAAATAGGCTATACAAAAACAGATAAAACAATGTCATGAGCTAATCACAACTTTAGAAGAAATATAAGTAGCCGCTCCACTACAGTATTCAAAAAAAAAAAAGTAACTATATACTAATCTAGGAGTAGGACCTGCACTGCTTAATGTTTCTTAATTTCTCCAACAAAGCTAACAAAAAGTAGAAAATATAAAATAGATATCAATATCTTACCTCATTATCTAATTGTTCACCAGGCTCCACGGGCACACATTTATTTAGAGAAGTACCATCAAGGGCATCTCTAGTTGTTTCTATTTCCTTCAGATGATCTTCCTCTCCAACTTGAGGGGGAGGATTTTCTGATTCATGTTGTTCAACCCCAACTGGACCAACAGCTTGAGTTTTCTGCAAATCGCTAACTTCATCATGTGTGAACTCTGACCCAAGAGATGCACATAACCTTGTCTCGGAATCCAGTGGTTTCTGTAAAGTGCCCTTAAAAGCGTCTGCATCGTCAGGTGAATGAAAGATTAATAAATCATTAGCATCAGAAATCATGGTTGCCCAATCTTTATAGTGATCAATGTTTCTTATCCCATCTAAATGCACTCCGCTTCCTACGAAACCTGTTTGAGAAACCTCTTGGACAAATGGAACTGATCCCGATGTTCCAGCCAACTTGGACACACAATTGGTGTCAATCCCATGGCAAGGCATTGTTCTACAGTCAGGGCTACCATAATCATAGTTTAGTGTTCGTGAGGCCACATTTGCAAGCTTTGAACACTCGTAAGTTGACTCAACAGGACCTTCGCCTATAAAACTCCCTGGATCAAAACTTTCCTGCAGCTCATCAGAGTCCTGAGCATCATCTATAACCCCATCATTGCTACCAACTTTGTTCCTATTATCCGAAGAAAACTCTGGCTTTGATGGATCTGAGAATTGATGCCTGAAATGAACCGTACCATTAACAAACAGAATACGAAGAATGTATTGAAGAAAGAATGGTTAGTTACCTTCTTAAGAATCTAGATCCCTTGAGGGAACTGACATGTGGTGAAGTGAAAATAGATGGAAGTGATGCAAAATTAACTGAGTTGAATGGCTGACTAATCCGTATTGGCTTCACTGTCTCGAAAGGAGAAAGATTGTTGATATAATTAAAGACAGGAGAGTCCTGCAAGTGGCCAAAAAGGAATTGCCTTCAGTATAGAAGAGAATTGCCTATGCACAAATCTATGAATTTGACTCTAACATGCAAATCAATTTAATTAGAAAAGAATTCTACTGTATGAATCAAATACTTGTGTAATGCAGACATCTCAGAAACCAAGCAATAAAAAATGAAGACAGAAGGATGTTCTAGAAATGATTATCATAGAATTCAAATCATTTTTTTTTCCCCAGTAAATAATAATTTAAAGACTAAACAGGAGAAAAAAAAACAGCAGAAATAAGCTATGTTACATGGACTCGGGTACGAGTGTCGGGTGCGGGTGTGTATCCAAGCGTCAGACCTTCATAAATTTAAATCTTAGGATCTTGGGGTATGTATCCAAAATTAGATATGGATACGGGGACACGTCATATGCACATATATATTGTATATTATATAATATTCTCGGATGAGATGATTTAAATTATGTAGAAATATATTAGAAATTAAATATGATTTAGAAAAAAATATGAAATTTCTATATCTAATTCATGTGGGAGCCTAAAAATATTGCTTTACTAACAAATGCAAGTTTCTTTTTCTTCATGTATTGTCACAAATTAAAGGATCTGAGTGTCTAAATTGGGTACGAGCGTCGGACACATATCCCACACCCTTATCCATGTCATATCCGGTGGACACGGGTATTGTGGGGGAAATAGAAGAGTCCATGTAACACAGGAAATAAGTACCAAAAATAGACAGATCAAATTCAACAGTGTGCTTTACACTTGCATACTTTTACACATGCATGAACTCAAATTTCATCTGATGAAGCAATGGAGAACAGGTCAAATTCTCAAAATTTGTTTGCTTGGAATTATAATTGAAGACTACCTTTGAGAATTTGAACCAAGATGGCTTCCAATTCCAAATTCAAAGCATCAATTCCATGCTTCCAAACGCAGTATAAAGAATGAGGTTGATTGGTTAAATTTCTATATATAAATCAGATAAAACTGTTGATATAAGGCATCAAAAGTTTTCAAAAAAAAAAAGTATATGTATGCAATAAAACTTTCAAATTTTATAATTGATCAGCCAGTCATAGATTCAAAGAAACCTCACAATCTCCACATATCCAAAATTAAAGAATAAAAATTCATAAGATATCTTCAATTGCATGACTATTCCAGTAACTTTAAATTACCCAAATCAACAAAAGCAAACCCTAATTCTACTGCACACATTATAGATCAAATTAAACCACACATAATTCAGGCCAAAAACATGAAAAGTCCAACATTAATCATCGTACAATTACAAAAATAAAAAATGCCACAGAACAACCCTCAAATCCGAAAATCAAAAATCTAATTCACTCAGGTCAGATCAAACAACAAAATTTTCGAGAGTACTCAGAAAAATTAACCAAACCTGGTACCAAAAAACAAAACTTTCAAAGTCACAAAACAGAGTACAAATCAAGATCAGTCAAAGCACAAGAAGCACTACCCACTAGACTAAGATCGGAAAAGATAGAGACTTTGGGGTCCAAATCACCTCGAATTTATAGAGGGGAGTGGCGATCCGGCTGCGGTCTGGGGTGTCCATTGGAGGACCTCCTCCTCCTCCTCCTCCTCTTCCACATTCCTCACTCTCACTTTCTCTCTCTAACTTCTCTCCTTCTTTTTCTTCCTTTCCCTCTTCTCCCTCCTCTCCCATCTCTCTTCCCTGTCTGTATCACTTTTCTCTATGACCCTTTTTCTCTCTCTATCACTGTGTGAGTGGGGGACTGATGAGATTCAAGGGGGAGGCGGGAAGGCGGGATGATGAGCAAGTGCAAGAGACGATTTTTCTCGACCCTACCACCGAACCCCACACTAGTAGACAGATTTTAACACACACTACTAGCTCTCTGTTGAAATCTCCATTTATACACAACAAATTGCAACAAAAAAGAAAAAAGAAAAAAGTAACGTACACTTGGTTTGAGCGGTGAAAATTATTTTCTCAAAATTATACATTTATACTTCTATTTTCTTTTCTTTTCTTGTATTTTTTTTATTTATTTATGTCCATCTATTTAACCATTTTAATTATTTTTTTTCTTATCATAATATGGCCTATTTTGGCAATTGAGTTCAAAGTTAAAAAGTTAATTTTTTTTTGTTTTTTTGGATTATATTATTTCTTTATTTTTTTTTACATATTTTTTTTAAAAAGTCAAAAAAAAAAAATCTTGACTTTTAATTTATTTCTCAAATAGGCCTATATTTACATACACATCATTTTTACCATATTTTTAAATGTCTATTCGGAAAGGATTACTCTTGTGAATGCTATGGGGTTTGTTCCAAGCCTAATTAGATAATCTGAACTATTCATATTATAAGATTCATCAAGTAAATTATTTACGAAAAAAATTAAATTAATTGAATATTTATAACTCTATAACAAGACTACATTTTTTTTTTACAAAAAATAAACAACTATCCTGATTTTGATATTGTTTTTAAAAACAATTTTAACCCGATCATGGGGTTATGTATATCTAATTAACCTAATTTTTTATGTTATATATTTAACAAATCTTATAATATAAACGATTCAAATCATCCAAATATACTAAAAACAAAAGGCCTAACCACAAAGAGGAAATCTCTGAGGCTAACTATAAGGAATCAAGACTCCAGATGTCACCCTTAAATGGTTGCTACATAGCAGAGTCACTCAACCATGTAGTGATAAGTCACGAACTCACACACAGGCGAAGATTCGAAACAATACTCTTGATACCGGATACGATTTGCTTACGTATGCAAAATTCATTCTACCAATCTTGTGTGCTATCGCTTAGGTGACTGGCCACAAGAAAATAAAATCTAAAACCTCAAGATTTATATCCTAAAATGTTACTAAAGTGCTACACTCCCTTAGATTAAATATACTAAAAACAAGCCTCTATTGACCTCGCAACAATTACTGTTGTGAATCACAAATTTGTTTGGTTTCACTTTTTGGGATTTACCTTTTCAAAAATTAAAAAATTTACTTTTTGTAATTTTTTGTTTTCACATAATTTTTTTATAATATTTAAGTAAATCTTTTTAAATATTTAGATACACTTAACATAAATACGCTTAAAAAGTATAATATTTATGAAAAAAATTAAAAAATTCACTAAATATCAAAAATGTAAAAAAAAAATTATGAAAATGCAATACATTTTTATATTCTAGTATATTTATTAATTTTTTAAAATAATTTTTTTATAATTTTTTTATTTTTTAAAAATATCTAAGTAATATTCATCTAAAAAAATAAAAATAAAATTACTTAAGATTTTAAAAATATTTATTAAAAAAAAATTAAAAATTCAACGTTAAAAAAATTTAAATCAAACGCAGCATAGCAATTCAGCATCCATGTCCATTCGCAATGAGAGTGGATGTGGAACCCACGGTATCAAGTGTGGGCCCTACTCCTATTTTGAGAAGGCCGTAACAACAAATGCGCTGTACGCTCCACTGCTATCTATCATGAATGGGCACTAGATATACAACACATACACATGGGCTTACTTTGGAAAGTAAGAAAATAATAATAATTTTTTTTGTTTTATTTTAAACGTGGAAGTAAAAAAAAATAGAGATGCAATATAAATAAATTAATAAATAATTTTTTTTTAATTGCCAAAATAAACCTCATATTTGACATATAGGACATTTTTAAATGTGCAATGTCATTCGAACATCCTATTTTAAGTGCTCTATTTTTTTTTAATTTAAAAAATATGAATTGATTCAAATTTTGATTGATAAACTAGTTTTTGGGGCTTTTGAAAGCACCCTTTTTCTATAATAAAAAAAAACATTTTAAAGTTTTTTTTAAAATTATTTTTGTACAACAAAAAAGATGAAAAACAAGATAAAAATAAATTGTTTTATTTGCAAAATATGAAGAAAAAATATTGAACAGTTTCGTTAATGAATTAGGTCAATTGCGTCAACAATTCGTTTGCAACAATTTCTTATGACACCATATGATATATCTCCAATCAAATCTATGTCCAAATGATGTATTGCAAATAAAGGTGTAAACTTAAAATTTTGACACATAGATTAACCAGCAACATGACTTGTCCAAAGGTGGCACAAGAAATAAAGGTCTTTGTGGACAAGGTAAAGATAATTTGCTATTTTTTGGGGATATAATCTAGAAAATTTTCAAATAATAAATTTTTTTTTCCTGAAAATAATAAATGTCATTTATGTTAATTAATTGTTATTGCTCAATATTATCTTCAAGTAAATGCAGCTTTACTCCCAATTATCTGGAATGATTTTCAGACACAGATGTTTTGTCCCTCTGTTTACTCCATCACCAGCCTTATGCTATTTTTTAAAATGGGACTTCTGAATTATATATATATATATATTTCTTTTAAGCAACAGATTAAGTGACTTAATGATTAAATTCCTATTTTTACCTTTAAAAAATGATTAAACCCCTCTAGGGACAAACCCATTCCACATAGAAAAAAAATTATTTGATAGCAAGTATTTTGGTGTCTCAATTTTAATGTAATTAATTTATATTTTTTGGATACTGGGTGTTTTTAACCACAATCTCATGATATTCAATCCTTCTAAATTAATTTGACACCCATTAATTTGAATCTTTCACATGCATGTATAAAAAAATTACAAATTAATAATCTTACAAACTTTCCTACTAATGTAAACAAAATTTTGGAAAGTAAAACCAAACCTGTTTCGTTAATATGATAGATATCATATTAAAAAAACTATAAACTTTATTAATTTATATAACATTTCTCTATATTAAGAAATGTGATGAATGTTTTACTTTATTTCTTATTTTTTATTTTCTACTTCTTATTTTTTATTTTGGACAGATAAGTTATAATGTGTAAATGTAAAGTGTTGAGTTGTCAATATGTATAAATTACATTAAATTAAACATCATAAATGGACATAGCAGACCAGACCATAGTCACACACATAATGTGTAACGTGTGTGACCACCCTCTCCAAGATCAATCTGGTTCTGGCGCGCTTACCATATTTCAAAAGTTGGGCTATGCTGCATACAGTCCATCACATACCATGAATCCTAAAACAGATTTTAGAAACAAGGACTCATCGGACGGATCAGAGTTATAACGCTCCATATACAAGTTAATTATATATGTACTTACGAACGTCTTTAAATTAAATTTTTAATTAAAAATTATACTTTACTAATTAATATTTATATAAATTTTAATTCATTAATTTAATTTAAATTTACAATAAATAAAAAATAAAAATATCTTATAATTCAATTTTTTTAAGTTCAATACACACTTTGTAATGATTTTATTGGACATCTACGGCCACAATAAGAAGAGTAAAGTTGTTAGAACATCTGCATCAAGCTTTTTAAAATGATTTTTTAACTAAAATTTACAAATAATTAATTCCATCAAACTCGCTTACGGCTCATCAAAATTTATGATCGCTACAGTAACTTGTTACAACAAGCGAGACACCGTTCATCGCTATTTGTGACTTACCGGATGTCTGTCCAGAAGTCTAGCCGGTCAACGGCAAATTTTTTTTTTTAAAGAATTATTTGGTTAGTAACTTATCAATTTAATAAAAAAAGAAAAAATAACAAACACAAAAAGAAAATAATATTTAATAAGAATAAGTTAGAATAAAGAATTTGATGCAGTAGGTGCCAAAAGATGAGTAGCTAAAATAATGAAATAGCTTTAATTTGACTAAAAAATTGAAGAGTTTGATGTAAATGCTCTTAATATATTTTGACGGTTTATATTCTTTTAAAAATGTTAATCTGAATTTTATATTAATTTTATTGAATTTATATATTAAAAAAACATGTCATGACATTTTTTGAGACAGTATGCTAAAATTTTAAAAGTCAATGACCATATATATTCATCATTCTAAAATTTTAAAATTATGTATGTACCTATCATGCTAAATTGAAACGATAAATAATACATGATTAAATTACATTTTTTATATTTGAAGGACAGTTATAGCGCACTAATTAACTGGACCAATTGTACAGGAGAGTTATATTGCCTGTGTTTCGCAAGGGCTTTTTCAGGTTTTTTTGGCTATTTTAGCCACAAAAAACAAAATAGGCTATTTTAGCCATAACAAACAAAACATCACATCCAACCTATAATCATTACATTCTTCTCTCACAAAAAAAGTCAAAAAAGCCAAAAAGTCAAAAAGCCCTTCCCAAACCAAGCTTTTTAGCCCAGGCTAAAATAGCCAAAAAAGCCAAAAAGTCAACCCACTTCCCAAACGGAGGCATTATGAATTAGAGGTGTTTGCCAATTGAGTTAGATCAAGTACTCTTTGATGCGTCATATGTTTGAATTTAGACGTGTATCTATCTGTTTAATTAGCAGACTTAGCAGACGTGTATTTATCTGTTTAATTAGCAGATGCATATTGAACAGATCGTACGAATTAACGAGTGAATACGGATCAATTTGACAGTTAGACTTTAGTACTTTAACTCTCTTCTTTTAACTATTTTAAAAATAATTTGTTACTGTTTTGGGTTTTAGCTGGGTTCGAAATTTTGTATTCTTCATTTTTTTAATTAAAATAAAGGCCAAAAGTTTTATATTTCATAAATACTTAAAATTATTATTAAATAAAATATTATTTTTTTAACATACAAAATATAAAAATATAACATTATTTTTTAAGGAGATGATGAAATAGATTGAATTAGGTAATCTTATAACTGCTATCCATTCGAACATAGACGAATTTAAAAAATTTATATCTATATCCATCCATCGGAACGATCGGTTTTGACGGATTGATAGTCCGTGAGACTCATTA